TGCTAGGAATTATGAGTGCTTTCAGACTTATGATTCTAGAAGTCACCACAGGTCACATTCAAGGTCTAGGGAACGCTCCAGGGATCATGATCGCCACAGGTACTTGTTTAACAATATCCCATGCTTGTTTAACAATATATTATTAGTTTTGTTTTGTGATCATTTTTTAACTTATTAAATTGGTAATATAATGTAATATTTGTTTTCTATTATTGTAAAATGTGCCAACTTGAGTCTTTTACCATTCTTTTCAAATTTAATGCTGAACTCTAGCTAGTATTTGAGTCCAAGAAGTTGAATATATGATAAAAGCCAGGGACAGTCGGATCAAATATATTTGAGGATGTGAGCTACAATTCTCTATGATTCTGGCAATAAACTCTTTATCACCTGAAGCTACATCCTTCTTTCTTTCCTCTTTTTCTCTAATCCTTACGAGGGTAAGAATCTTACTCAGCATTTTTGAGTGCTATCATCTATTTCTAGTATATTTCCCTTATTATTGGAATACAGTATAGAGAAATGGCTGTAAATCTTGAATAGACCCAGAACCAACCAGGCTTAAGGCATAGGGGTGTAGCAAACACCTGTACTGTAGATTTTAATGCGGTCTTTCTTCACATAAAAAAACCCTGGTTTTTTTTAATCTCATCTAAATTCTAAAATATCTTGACTACTGTTTGATTATGATGAGCTGATGAAGGGATGGCATTCCTTTGGTACCTTATTATATTATGACTTGTTAGTTATTGCCTGGATTTGAATCTTGATCTTGACCTCAAAACAAAGTGATAGATATTTGTTGTTATATTAGGGATTGAACCCAAAACTTGTGATAGCATAAGTAATTCTATCACTAGACCATATAGCTGATGGTTAAGAGGGGTATTTGTTACTTGGTGATTTGTGTTTGGTATTCAATATCATTGGGGATGTAAGTTTGCTTGATTTTACTATTCCAATTTCCATGTCCGCAATTTTTCAGTTAAGTATTTAAAAGGAGAACTAATATAATGAGGTTGAAATTTATTTTCTGCTTTGACGTCTTGATGTTAAGTTGGCAAGAAATTTGAGGATGCTGGAAACATGATTCACACAATTATATCTAGATTCTGTCTATCTGATAGTAATCATGCATGATTGGGTGTGAATTGATGTGCCTGAAAGAATTATGTATGAAAAGAAAATTTTTTTGTAATTCTCAATCATTTGCTGTGTAAAAAGCATTAGATTAAATTAAATCCAAAAGTTAAATGGGAAACTGCAAGGAGTATAAGTTCATCTATTGATAAAAAGCACTACTTAAAGAGTAATCTGTAAGGAAGGCAGTGTGCTCTAAGTATGCAAAGGCACTTCTCCAATGCTGTCACATCTTGTGTAGCCTATTATCACACATGAAGGAAAAAAATGTGAATCTCCAAAGGATCTAGGTATCACAAAAGAGAAGAAAACCTATGAGGCACCAAAATCTGTTGTGCATGTGAAAGCTAAAATTTATATTTAAAATTATGGTTTGTCTTGTGTGTAAAAGAAAGAAAATAGCAAACCCATCAAAATGAGCAAACCATAATCTAATTAAAACCGAAGTACAGTAGAACTCAATTGATAATTATCAAGTAATATTTGCCTTTTGAATATTCTCTCTCTTTAAAACACGATAAACAACAGAGTTTAATATTGCTGCCAAGCAATATGGCAGCTTCGCAAAGTTCATATCCAACTTATGACTTATGAGTGCACCATCCAGACTTGATAGGAATTAAAAAAGCAACCACTCAATATATATAGTTCCATATGTATAAGAAATGTACTTTTATCATACAAGTAAATATAAGAAAGCAACATTTGTTTTGTGGAAGGATATTCTCTCTTTAATACTATAAAACAGCGCATGCATTTAAAGGCTTTGCATGAATTTGATAATACATAATATAAGTTGCACAAGTGTACGAGAAATAGAAAAGATCTGTCTTCCCCCTTTTTTTTTTTATTCCTCTTTTTTGGTAGAAAAAAGGGATCAATTTTAGTTAGTGAGGCAACATTCTAGGCACCAAGCAATGTGACAACTGCACATCCAACTTACGTGTACACCATTCAGACCTGCAACGAACTAAGAAAGCAGCCTCAATATACCTCCATGCATGTTTACAAGAGATGTACCCTTATCAAACAAGTATAGAGATGATAGAAGCATAAGACCAACTCACCATCAAAAATCACTTGGAAAGGACATGAGCTGCAATTTCTTTGATCTCAATTTTCAGAATCACCTTGACTCTACATACATAAAAACAACACAATACTAAAGGTGAAAGAAAAATTATAGCGAAAATTTTCCTTTCCAAAAGCATGATCTATCAAGCATTCATATATACCTTTCTAGTTTTTCTTGTTATTTTAAAGACTCTAAATGAAGATTTTGTGTAATAAACAAAAAGAGTAATAGATAGAATTTAAAAGAAGAAAAACCTAAGGAGATCTTTTGAATTAATGCATACCTTTTGCATGAAATGTAGTTGTATGTTCGAGTTTAGGTTGCCATCCCAATCCCAAAAGCCTTCATCTTCATCTCCAGGAAATTTTACTTTCTGTAGTTTTGGCATTCTAATTTCATCCATAGAGAAAGTCTGCATACTTGAACAATCCATCAAAATCACCTCTTCCAAAAATGGGAACTCAAACTGCATTTAATGGAGCAAAAGTTTGAAAGTCTAGGTAGACCACAAAGTTGCAAATGCTTGAGTTTGCTAAAGACAATCTCATCCTTCACATCATCCTCCAAGCATGTGACGGTTTCCAACAAAGGTAGCGGAGTGGGCTTTTGAGCTTGTGATTGGCTAACACTAGGTTCTTTGACTCAAGTATCTCTTCAAGTGAATCACAGTTCCATACTTGGAGCTTGTCTAGTCTTTGAAGCCTTCCCAACATACTAAATGGGAAAATATTCAATAACTTTTCACATGAAACCACACTCACCAAAGTTAGTTGGCAAAAAGAATCTACTTCGAGTTGGTCGTCCCATATCTTATTCAAGCTCTTCACATGTTCAATTACCAATAGCTCTAATTTGGGGAATGCCACCTAAAGATTTACATGATTCAATTAAAATTAAACACAATCATAGATGTAATGGAATGAAAAACATTGGGATCTAATTTTTTTAAAAATGTAAAACTTTTTGAGGATAAGAAAATAATAATAGCATTATCATACATTAAAAGGTAAAAAATAAGGGGTAAAAAAAGGAGAAATCACCTTTGCGTCAAAGAGAGAAAGTGTACAATCGTTCATAACATTTCTAGAACTGGCTATCATATCTCCAAAAATAAAGCTAGAGATGAAAGTCTTCAGCATAGGGCACATTGGAGTCTTGGTAGCACCTCAAGCTTAAAACTTGATACTCGAGGAAATTCACAGTTAATAATTGCTTCAGCTCCTTGTTCTCCTATTGTGACAATTTCCTTCACCCCGCACCAGTATAAATGTAGTTTTTGGAGTTGCACAAGGCTTTTGCCTATTGAAGTTGGAAACAAAATTTTGAGACTCCCACAATGACTTACCTCCACAGATTCCAAGTTGTGAAAAGTGAGTATTCCTTGAGGATCCTTATTCCACACATGCTTCAATCTTGGTAGATCATCAATAGTCAATTTTCTCAACTTGGTGTCAATTACAACACGTGTTTGTTTGACATTGAACTTGTCAATTTCAAATATCCCTTCTAGCGAGCCACATTGATTTATAATTAACTCCTCTAAGGATTTCCAGATTCTTCCCTCTATATCAGCAAATGGAAAAACAGCTGATAGCTTTTCACACTTTTCAATTGTTAATGATTTTAGTCTGCAAAAAGAATCTGCATATGGTTTGCTGTGCCATATGATCTCCAAGTTTTTCAAGTGGGTGATAGTCACACATTCCAAGTTGGGAAAAGCAACCTACATAATGAATGAATGCATCATGCCATTGACAGTGAAAGGAGGATAAGGACAATTATTAGTCCCTAACATTAAAGCTGAAATGAAAATGAAATGCAGTTTTTGGTAAGAAACTATTATATATGTTGTTTGGGGTGATTTATTCTGATGTAATGACAATCCTGGTTTAGCTTAAAGTAATTTTTGTCGATAGAAATATATTTCTTGAACTGTATAGCACCTTTAATCTTTAACTTTGTCAGCAATGAGTGGGTAATTTGTCATTTACCATTGTGCAAAACTTTAAAGCTGCTTAAATTTAGAACAAAAAGTCTTCATTAAGAAACTAATTACCTTGCTGGTGAAAAACGCTTGAGGGTCCTCTTTCTCTAGCTCTCTAGGGAATGTCGAAGCAAATGTAGTCATTTTTGGACAGTTAAGTACTTCAAATCTTGTTAACAATTCACACTGGAATGTGGAACTTCCCACATAGAAACTTGTCAAGTCTGAACAAGACTCCAGAATAATCTGGCTCAAGTAGGGGAGTATGATCTTCTTTTCTGATCCTTCTTCTGTTATCACATTTTCTGATCCTTCTTCCATTATCACTGCATCCATTCTTGTGCACTGTTTTACCTCCAAATGATCAAGTTGCACAAGGCTTCTGACCATAGGTAGGGTTAACAGGTATCCCAAGCTGTTGCAATTACAAATGTCGAGTCGAAGAAGGTATCTAAAATCTAAGATTTGAAGACTCTTAGTATGCCAAT